GCCCTCCCCGTTTTGTGGTGGGACACGCGTGTCCCCAAGATCGTCCTCCCCGTGTTGCAGCGGGACACGCGTGTCCCCAAGATAGTCCTCCCCGTGTTGTGGTGGGACACACACGCGTCCCCGAGGAGATCATCCTCCCCGTGTTGCAGTGGGACACGTGTGTCCCCAAGATCGTCCTCCCCGTGTTGTGGTGGGACACGCGCGCGTCCCCAAGATTGTCCTCCCCATGTTGTGGTGGGACACGCGTGTCCCCAAGGAGATCGTCCTCCCCGTGTTGTGGTGGGACACGCGCGCATCTCCAAGATCGTCCTCCCTGTGTTGTGGTGGGACATGTGTGTCCCCAAGGAGATCGTCCTCCCCGTGTTATGGTGGGACACACACGCGTCCCCAAGATCGTCCTCCCCGTGTTGTGGTGGGACACGCGTGTCCCCAAGGAGATCGTCCTCCCCGTGTTATGGTGGGACACGCGTGTCCCCAAGGAGATCGTCCTCCCCGTGTTATGGTGGGACACACACGCGTCCCCAAGATCGTCCTCCCCTCCATCTGTGGCGGGTGAGGAGCTTTGCTCCAGGAAAACAGGCGACTTTAAGAGGTTTGGGGGCAACCAGGTGGAGTTGGGGACAACCTTGGGGACGTGCTAGCTGGCCCGTTGTCTTCTTGGGGTCACCTAAACGTAGGGTGGTGGCGTTTTGCCTCCTGCGACCGGTTTTGGGGCGGAACGGCGGCGTTTTGGGCCGTGGCATCGGTGTTTACGGAGCTGCCAGGGCAGGGATTTAACCGTGGTCCCCTTTGTCCCTCAGCTCATCCTCTTCGGGCTCAGCAACCAGATGGTGGTGACGTTCAAGGAGGAGAACACCATCGCCTTCAAACACCTCTTCCTGAAGGACTACGTGGACGGCGCGGACGATTCCTACGCCGTCTACACTCAACGCGACCTCTACGACCGCATGTTTTACGCCGTGGAGAAGGTGAGATCCACGGAGGTGGCTTTGGGGACACGGAGGTGGCTCGGGGACCGCATCCAGCCGCTGAGGGCGTCTCCTTCTCCAGTACTTGGCCATTCCCAACGAGACCATCGGCCGCTACGCCTACGTGCGGGGGGAGAGCGGAGGGAACCGGTCGGCCCTCATGCTGTGCCAGCAATACTACCGTAAAGGCCGCATCGATCCGGCCAACGACACCTTCAACATCGACCCCAAAATTGTCACAGGTGGGTTTTTGGGGGACGGTGGGACTGAGGTCGCTTGTCCCACAGCCACCGTTGGGTCCCGGGGAGGTTTTTGGTCCTCGTTTTGGGCTTAAGAAGGGTTCAAGGGATCCGCGTGGGGCTTCGGGCTTCCCTGAAGGCACTTCTCCCTCCCCGCAGACTGCCTGGGAGTGGATCCCGAGGAGCCGCAGCCTCTGTCCCCAGAGCTGGACCGCAGCTACAAGAACTTCACCCTCAAATTTCACAAGTAATTGCCGGCGCCTTCCCCGCAACCGGGGTGTCGGGGACGTCCCATCGGCGCGGGGTACGGGTGAAGGTGGAACGGGGTCCCCGCCGTGGGGAATTCCTCGCGTCGCCGAGATGAAAAAGCTCCGCTTGGTTTTAAAAACCAACTCGCGGGATTGAAACAAATCCAGCCTTGTGCCGGGGGAGATGTGAAACCGGTGAGGTTGCACAACAAAGCAGCTGCTTTCCGGCTTCGGCGGCGTCGAAGCGCCGCGACTGTCCTGCAACATCCGCCTTGGGGGTTGTTTTCCCCTCCCCGAAACCCCGTGCCGGCTTTTTGGCAACGTTTTGATGGCCCGTTGCCAACCCCCGCGGTTGTGGGCACGTTAACAGCGCGGGCAGGCCCCATCTTCTTGCCGGTGCCGGGCAGAGGGCCGCCGGCACCGCTGCCGCCGAGAGATGCAGTGTAGCTTGCGGCATCTTCCAGAGGGTCCAACCTCCCCTTCGAAACCAAATTCACCGCCACTGGGGGCACGTTGGCAGCTTTAGAGCTGGGAACAGCCTGTCTTGGGGCTGTACGCACCCCCAAAGAAGGTGTTTACCCCCTCTCTGGCGGTTGTTGGACTCTCGGTGCCGTGTTTTGGGGGTTTGGGGGGGTCCGAGTGGGCTGAGACACCCCGGAGAAGCCCCAGGAGGAGAATTAACAACCGTCCCCTCCCGCAGACTCATCAACGTCACCATCCAGTTCAAGTTGAAAGCCATCAACATCCAAACCATCATCAACAACGAGATCCCCGATTGCTACACCTTCACCATCACCGTGAGCGCGTTGGCAGCGTTCTCCACCTCTGGGTGATCCGGTCGCGTTGCGCGGGGGTGACGGCGGCCCACGTGGGCACGTAGCCGCCGGCTACAGGCAGCGTTCCGGCAGCAAGGAGCTGCCAGACGGTTTTGCAGGCGGTAACCATCCCCGTTTGTCCCCAGATCACGTTCGACAACAAGGCGCACAGCGGCCGGGTGAAAATTCACCTCGACAACCGGGCTGACATCAAGGAGTGCAAAGATCCCAGCGTCTTCGGCCGAGGTGGGAGCCACGAGGGCGTGACAAAGGTGGCATCTGTCCCCAGTTGGGTGCCAAAGGGGGGGCTCAGGGTGCTCCTGGGTGGCTGTCCCCCTCCTTAAGAAGAGCCACCGCGCATCTTGCAGGCGACAACTCCTTCCGGCTGTTCTTCGACGTCGTCGTCATCCTCGTCTGCTCGCTCTCCTTCATCCTCTGCGCTCGCTCCATCATCCGGGGCCTGATGCTGCAGCACGTGAGTGGTGGGACGGCGGCAAGCGGCGCTAACCGTAGTTCCCTCTGCGGTGTAACCGGTGGGGACGGACAGAGCTGCCACCGGGACGCTATTTCGGCGCTGCCGGCTTTCCGAGGAGACCCCTTTCCCCACAGGGACGCTCGGTTAAAGCTGTGGGTGCTCTGAGACGGGTGAAACTCCGGGCGGTGGGTAAAGGACACCGTTTTTTTTCTCCCCACGCAGGAGTTCAGCCGGTTCTTCCAGCACCGTTACAACCAGAACGTGTGTTTGTCGGACCGCATGGAGTTCCTCAACGGCTGGTACATCCTCCTGGTGATCAGCGACATCCTCACCGTGCTGGGAACCATCATGAAGATCGGTATCGAGTCCAAGGTACGGGGGACACCGGAGGAGCGAAACTGGGGGTTTTGTAGCTCCTGGGGGCTGCTGGCGCAGGTGTCCCCGTGCTCCGGGGAGGGGACGTTTCCGTGTGGCGGGGGGAAGCCTTCCCGTTTGGCCACGAGCAGCCTCTCCTGAGGGGTTCAAGGAGGGGTCCTGGCCTGGGTGGGACCCCAGAGTCCCCCTTTCCCTTTGGGACAGGGAGTTGGCAACAAAGGGACAGGCAGGGGACGGCATCGGGGCTCGTGGCAGCTCTGGCTGCTGCGTCGGGGCTCGCGGCACCGGGATTTCAGTCGCCGCGAGCTTGTGGCAAGTGCAGAGGGTCGTTAGGGCTTCGGGGACGGCGTTGGGGACTTCGGGGATGGCGTTGGCCGTGCCTCGGGTCCGTGACACCTCTGTCCCTGCAGAACTTCGCCAGCTACGACGTCTGCAGCATCCTCCTGGGCACCTCCACGCTGCTGGTCTGGGTCGGGGTCATTCGCTACCTCACCTTTTTCCAGAAGTACAACGTGAGTGACACCGGGGAGGTGACCTAGGAGCCGAGGGGACAATTCCCAGGGTTGGGAATGACCGTGCCAGCCTGGTCCTGAGCGCCTGGGCAGGCTCGGGTTTGTCCTACAGCTGCTGCACGTCCCCAGGGGTCCCCATCCTGCTCTGCCAGGGACCTCGGGGTCGCACCAGGTGCTTCAACCGGCACCGGGTGCTTCAACCGGCGCCCTCGGCGGAAGATGGGGGTTAATCCCAACTGGTTTTCCCCCACCAGATCCTCATCGTCACGCTACGGGTGGCCCTCCCCAACGTCATCCGCTTCTGCTGCTGCGTGGCCGTCATCTACCTGGGCTACTGCTTCTGCGGTTGGATCGTGCTGGGCCCGTACCACGTCAAGGTGCCGCTCCGCGTCGGCGGTTGGGGTGGGCTTCACCCACCTCCGGGTGATTCCCTGCCCGGATTTGGGAGGAGATGGGTACGGGGCCGGTCGCCGTTTTGGCAGCGTGGGTTAGATACCGCGCCGTTCTTTGCCGTGGCCTCTCTCCTCGTGGCGCAACGCCATCGGGGTGGCACGTAGGGCGTCGGGGAGCGCTCGCTCCCCGTCTGGGAGCTTCCAGCCCGGCGGTGGAAGGGGTGACACAGTGCCTTGGGCCACCTACCAGCCTTTTGTCACCTCCCATCCCAGTTCCGATCTCTTTCCATGGTATCCGAGTGCCTCTTCTCCCTCATCAACGGGGACGATATGTTCGTTACCTTCGCCGAGATGCAACAGAACAGCTACTTGGTGTGGCTCTTCAGCCAGATCTACCTGTACACCTTCATCAGCCTCTTCATCTACATGGTCCTCAGCCTCTTCATCGCCCTCATCACCGGCTCCTACGAAACCATCAAGGTGATGAAGCCAGACCTCGGCCTTTAAGCAAAATTTCATGGCTTGGTTTGTTTTTTTGAGGGGAGAGGATCCCGTTTTTCCCTCACCGGAGGGATTCAACGTCCCCGTCGCCTTTTCCCGCAGCACCAATGCGAGGGCGAAGCGCCCGTCTCCCAGCTCCACGCCTACATCGCCCAGTGCAAGGACAGCCCCAAATCGGGCAAATACCGTCGCGACAGCGCCTCGTCCTGCTCCATCTTCTGCTGCTGCGAGCGGTGAGCGAGCGGTGCCCAGCGGATGGGGGCCCCAATATGCTCTGCAGCCCCCCCGTTATCCGCCCCGCTCCCTCCTGCGTGCCGGGAGAGGAGGATTTATGGTTATTTTCGCTGCTGACGTGGCCGATCCCACGTGGATCGTGATTTCCAGCCCCTTTTCCGTGCTGGTGAGTCTTTTCAGCACCCCAAAATGGCTCTGTGCCCGTGGGGACCCCTCCACGTGGGTATAACCCGGGGTACATGGGCTCCCCGCGTCCCCTCGTCGCTCCCCGCTTCCCACCCCGCTTGTTTCTGGCATGCTGGGGGTCTCCCTTGAGCTACGGCTGCGTCTTATTTCCAAAATCGAAGCCGCCTGCCCCAAATTCCTCCAATTTCCCCCCGTTACCGCGAGCGCCGTCTCCCCGCAGGGCTCCTCTGCAGGACAACGCGCTGCTGGTGAATTGAGGGGAGGACCCCCCGCGAGGGAGCGACGCCCCGTGCTCCCCCTGACCCCGAGCCCTTTTTAATTTATTTTATTATCTGCTTTTACCGGCTCGGGGCCCCGAAGGAGCGGGGAGAGACGGTGGCCGCGTCCCCTGCACCGGGGGGACGCTACCCGGACCCTTGGGGCCCCCGTTATTTTTCTTGACGGACCTTGGCCTTGCTGCTCCCAATCCTGAACTGGAGCTGGGCAGCACCTGGGGGGCTCAACGGGGGCCCTGGACGTGTTTTGGGGGGCAGCTCGGAGCCCTGGGACCCCCAGATCACTTTTGGGGGGCAGCTCGGAGCCCCAGGACCCCCCAGATCCGTTTTGGGGGGCAGCTCGGAGCCCCGGGACCCCTCGGCTGCGTCAGGGATGTGTCCAAAGCCTCATCCTAAAGCCCCCTTGTCCCTTGGCTGCAGCGGGGGCCCCGGC